GAAGCTTTTGGGATAAAAAATAAAGAACTTGGTGCTGGATGGCACGATTTTGCTCAAAAAATCAAAGAGAGAGTAAAGCTATTACAGAATAATGAAATTTCTATACCTCAAGTTGATAAATCCCGTCCAGATAAAAATTCACAATTATTGCGCTATAAAAATCTTCTTGATTCAAGGCCATTGGATGAAAAAAAATATATAGAGGGATGTGAAATACTTACCTGGCTCCTTTCTAATGGCCATATTGATAAAAAAATATACCGCATTGGAATTAAGGAATTGGAAGAATAATTAATAGCTTCTCAAATTCCATTTTTTTGGAAGATTTCTGATAATTCATCCTTTGATGCATGTATCATTACGATAGAACACCATTTGCCATTATTTTTCTTTCTCGCTATTACTGTTTTTAAACCTAAAGCTGTTAATGCCCTTGAAATCTGATTTTTATTAAGAGGACTATCTACACTATTTGCATAATTATCATAGAACTTCGAAAAGCTTTCATTTATATCAAAATATTCGTCTTTCAGATATTTATAGAATTGTATTTCTTTAACAGAACTAGGTGAACTGTTGATAAACTCTAATAACCATAATTTGATATATTCAATATCATTTGATTGATTATGATCTTCAATCATTTTTTCAAAAATTTCTATGACATTAAGTGAAAGAATCTTATTATACCGAGATTCAACAAAGTGTGAAAAGTATTTCTTAAATTCAATGAGCTCTTCAAAGTCCTTGATTCCATTCACATGAAGGCGTAAATTATTTGCAGTATATCCTACAGACTTTGCAATTATATGTCCACAGGCATCACATGTTCTTTTTCTATTCGACATTTTGATTTTAGTATTTTTCTAATAATAATATATTTATTTAATTCAAAGATCGCCCATAGAGAATTAATTAATATGATGGTTTGTGTTCCCTACAGTATTCCCCTTCCTCTATATTGATTGCAATAAAACATTCTCGACAAAGAGTAAGATTTAAATCCAAAAGTTTTTCTCGATGTACCGCCATAATCTCCTCATATGTAGTAGGAAAATTCATATTTCGTTGAGGATCATGAGTATTATAATTAGTATGAGTATCTTCAGGAGGATATAGTATCGATTCATTTTCATCCAATTGCCATCCAGCACGAATATATGAATTATACTGCCTTCCACCTACAAGAATACTTCTATCTGTTGCGACATTATGAACAAATCTTCTAGTTTCTAGAGGAGGCGCTGTATCTCTTCTAATCAGTGATCCATTAATGAAATCATAGGCTTCATATGTTAATCGGCAGAAGAGTGCTCCTCCAATAGTGATACTTCTACCAGTTTTTGGATTTATTGTAGTTCGAATTGGCATTTTATTTGTGTATATAATATAAAAAAAAAATAATTCAAAATAAATTTACAATGCAT